CTAGAAAAAGAAAATATTCATTAGGAAACTATAGGGAAGTGGAACATTATTTAGTATTCATAGAAAGTTTTCATTCTGATTTTTTTTTTTTTTTTTTTGAGACAGAGTCTTACTCTATTGGCAGGCTGGAGTGCAGTGGCACGATCTCGGCTCACTGCAACCTCTGCCTCCAGGCTGGTCTCGAACTCCTGACACCTCGTGATCCACCCGTCTCGGCCTCCCAAAGTGCTGGGATTACAGGCTTGAGCCACCGCGCCCGGCCGATATACTCTTTTTTATCAACGTTGCAGTATTTACATTTGCTTGAGAATTCTCTTTGACATTTTAAAAGTTGAGAGGTTTGTGACTTAAATCTCCAGGTTTTTAAGGCTTTTCAAGTATGTTTCTGTTATTTATTGCTACGTTAATTATAATACAGTTTGATTGCATACTTTATAGAATTTCTATTTTTAAAAAGTTGTTTAAGTGTGTTTCATGATTCAGAATATGTATGGTCTATCTTGGTGTATACGTCATGTGGGCTTGAAAATAATGTGTAGCCTGTTGGTGTACAATGAAGGTATAAATACACATCAATTAAATCTAGTTAATTAATAGTATTCTTGAGTTCAGATGTATCATTAGTGATTTTCTGCCAAACTGATCTGTCAATTAATGAAAGAGATGAGTTGTTTTCCTCCAACTATAGTTGTATATTTGTGTATTCTGCCTTGTGGTTTTATAAGTTTTTGCCTTATGTATTTTCATGATCTGTGTTTATGGGCATAGATATTAAGGATTATTATGTCTTGTAGGATTGACCTCTTTATCATTATGAAATATCTCCATTGCATGTAATTTTCTTTGACCTAAAATCTTATTTATCTGAATTTAGTATCACTGTTCCGTATTTCTTTTGATTAGAGCTAGAATGGCATATATTTATCCATACCTTTCTGTTTAATGTATCTGTGTCTTTCTGTTTAAAATGGTTTTCTTGTGCACATTGATGGGCCTTCTTTTTCATTATACTCTGCCAGTGCCTGCCTTTTTTACTATGTTATAACTGTTCTATGTTTTTTTTTTTTTTTTTTTTTTTTTTGAGACGGAGTCTCGCTTTGTTGCCCAGGCTGGAGTACAGTGGCCGGATCTCGGCTCACTGCAAGCTCCGCCTCCCGGGTTTACACCATTCTCCTGCCTCAGCCTCCCGAGTAGCTGGGACTACAGGCGCCGCCACCACGCCCGGCTAGTTTTTTTGTATTTTTTTAGTAGAGACGGGGTTTCACCGTGTTAGCCAGGATGGTCTCGATCTCCTGACCTCGTGATCCACCCGTCTCGGCCTCCCAAAGTGCTGGGATTACAGGCTTGAGCCACCGCGCCCGGCTGTTCTATGTTATAACTGATATAATTGGATTAATATCACATATATGTTATTGTTTTCTATTTAGTGTACACTCTCTGTTTTTTCAACTTTCTCCTTTTTGCCTTCTTTCATTTTGACTGAGCATGTATATGATTCCATTTGCTTACTTCTATGAGTAGAGTAAATCTATTTGTTTCTTAAATTTTACTAGTGAATTCACTAGAGTTTGTAGAATACCATTCACAACTAATGAGCCTACAGTTTCAAATAACACTATACCGGCTTCAGGGGTAGTGCTGGTATAACAAACTATTCTGAATTCCTGTATTGTATTGCCCAGTACATTGCTGATATTATTATGTTGAGCAAACCTGTATCTATTATATTAGATCAGATAGGTATAAGAAAACTAAAGAATTTCAAATGTCTTCATGTAATTCTCAGACTCTTTGTGTGTGTGTGATCCAAATTTCTAATCTATATAATTTTTCTTCTCTCCAATGAAATTCTTTTAACATTACTGGCAAGGCAGTTATATCAATCATACATTCTATCAATTTCATTCCTTTTTCTTTTTTTTCTCCTCAGTCTAAATAACTTCAATTGATTTTTTACTTTGGTTTCTCACATCTGTTGAACATCTATAGATAAATTTTCATTTTAGATGTTGTCCTTTGCAGTTGCATAAATTAAATATGGTCCAATTTCTAATTTTGTATTGATATGATTTTATCCATACATCCTTTTTCTGGTTTTCTTTTAGTTCTTCGTTCATAATTGCCTTTACCTCATTGAATATATGTAAAACAGTTGCTTTAAAGTTTTTATTCAGTAAATCTAATGTCTGAGGTTCTCAGAGATGGTTTATCTAAATTAAATTTTTTCCATTGATGAACTGTATTTTCATGCTTCTTTACAGTCTTTGTGGACTTTTTGTGTTGTAAAGCAGACATTTGAATGTTATAATCTGGAAATCAGATTCCTCTTCACGGTTTGCCCTTCTGGTTTGTGGAAGGTTTTAATTATTCGTTTGTTTAGTAACATTTTCAGAGTATGTTTGCAGAGACTGTATTCTCTGTCCATTTTAGTCACTGAAGTCTCTGTTCCCTTAGCTTGTGTTCATCCAGTATTCTGATAGATTTCCTGAATGCTAGCAGCTAAAAGTAAAAAAGACATGCCAAACAAAAACCCGACCTCTTCCAGTCTTTGTGGATGGGTCTGTGATGTAGTATTTGTTGAACACTTAGCCAGACTGCTTACAATTCTGCTTTAGCCTTCCCTTTCTGTTTTACCAAACCGAGAGATGATGCAGAGCTGAAAATGAGGGCCTCCCCAGATCTTTTTTGAAAATGTGTTCTTTCCAGTGCATGCATTCTCAATTCCCCAAAACACTTGAGTGCTTTTGGATGCCCTTTTTTTTTTTTTTTTTTTTTTTTGAGACGGAGTCTTGCTTTATTGCCCAGGCTGGAGTTCAGTGGCTCAATCTCAGCTCACTGCAACCTCCGATTCCCAGGTTCAAGCAATTCTCATCCCTAAGCCTCTGGAGTAGTTGGAACTACAGGTGCCCGCCACCACGCCTGACTAATTTTTGTATTCTTAGTAGAGACGGGGTTTCAACATGTTGGCCAGGCTGGTCTCGAACTCCTGACCTCAGGTGATCCTCCCGCCTTGGCCTCCCAAAGTGCTGGGATTACAAACGTGAGCCACCGTGCTCAGCCTGACTGCCCTAATTTCTGGGGGAAATTGTTCTCTCCTTTTTTATTCCCAGGACTTAGATGTTCTACCATTTGTCTTAATCATAATTTGTTGTCCCAGTTGTTTGAAGGTTTTTTATGTATTTTGCAACATTTTGAAGCAGTTCCTGCCAAGTTTGACCTAATTAGGCTCCATCATTGATGAAATAAAAAAGAGAGCTTTCTTTCAGACCTTTGGATGGTCCACAGATAGATTGAAAAATACAAAGGGGCAATAACTTATAGATAAGATCTGATCTCCTCTCTCTAGGGATCCACATTGGAAATTTGGTCTGCTGTCTTCAAGACTGGCTCTGACGTGAGGAGGGGTTGGGAGAAGGACAAACAAAACACCACCAAGCTTTCCTACTATTTTTCATCTTCCTTATTCTGTTTGTTTATCTCTGTGTTAATAGTACAGGATGCTGAATATAGTATATTCACAATACTTTATCTGTTTTTGGAAAGCTGTTGCTTTCTTGATTAGAAGGATTTTAGCATTTTTAGACATTTGTGACTTCTATTAGATTTGGTCATGTAATTTTTAATGATGACAAAAAGATCTGTTTAGGGATTTAGGGAATATTGTAGATATTCATGAGAGGTGACACTGAGTTTTTTTTCTAAGAACATATGCAATCTTTGCCCTTTTCTTCTTTGACATTACTTAATAAAGTTTAACATTTTTCCATTGGGATGGTAAAATATCCTTATTAGTCTTTTGTCATACTGAACTACATTTGTTCTGCAGAAAACCATTTGCTAGCTTCCAAATGTTCTCTCTTAGTGTAGTCACATAGCACAGGCTAAATTCCCCAAGGCACAAGGGTCACTCATGACAGATACGGTGACCAGAGTGTTTTTCCCTTATTTTTTTATTTTTTTGAGACGGAGTTTCGCTCTTGTTGCCCAGGCTGCAGTGCAATGGCGTGATCTCGGCAGCCCAGGCTGCAGTGCAATGGTGCGATCAACGGCGCAACCTTCACCTCCCAGGTTCAAGCAATTCTCCTGCCTCAGCCTCCTGAGTAGCTGGGATTATAGGCATGCGCCACCACGCCTGGCTAATTATTTGTATTTTTAGTAGAGGCGGGGTTTCTCTGTGTTGGTCAGACTGGTCTCGAACTCCCAACCTCAGGTTATCTGCCTGCCTCGGCCTCCCAAAGTGCTGGGATTACAGGCGTGTGCCACCGTGCCTGGCCTCAGAGTGTTTTTTTCATGACTGTCTTAGTCTGTTTTTTGTTGCTTATAACAGAATACTTTTACCTGGGTAATTTATAAGAAATGATATTTATTTTTTACACTTCTGGAGGGTGGGAAGCCCAGCATCAAGGTTGGGCATCTGGTAAGAGCCTTCTTGCTGGTAACTCTCTTTTGCACAATAGGTAGTTGGACTTTGTCATGACAAGAACTGCAGACCCACTGTAGAAATAGAAATTAGGAGTGATTCAGGCGATAAGACTCACTTTCTTAACTCACCAACAAGAGGCGTGTTCCTATTCAACTGTTGCTTTACCAAACACGTTCAATTCTAGCATCAGAATTGTTGTGTGGGATAAAATGGTATAAAGAGAGAATAAGAGTGGGTTTACCATGTCCTTGAATAAATGTTTGGAAACCACAGCATCATGTGAAGGTTATGAAGTGAATCTAGATTCCCAGTGCCTTCAGTTTTAATCTTCCTCCTCTGTACATGTGGAATGTTTCAGGACTCAGTGGCATTTGAGGATGTGGCTATAAACTTCACCTGTGAGGAGTGGGCTTTGCTGGGTCCATCACAGAAGAGTCTCTACAGAGATGTGATGCAGGAAACCATTAGAAACCTGGACTGTATAGGTAAGGATGACATCATGCCTTCACTTAGTCAATTAGAGACATTTGTTTCTTGGTCATCAGTGCTGTTCAGTGATTTGAAATATGGAAAGGGGATATAATTGGCCCTTGAACCAGCCACCCAAGCAGTCATATATTTTCTTCTCCCCTACAACTTAACCACTAGTAGCCTACTGTTTACTGGCAGCATTATTGGTAACATAAACAATTAATACATATATTTTATGTCATATGTATTACATGCTATATATTGTTACAGTACAGTAAGCTAGAAAAAGAAAATATTCATTAGGAAACTATAGGGAAGTGGAACATTATTTAGTATTCATAGAAAGTTTTCATTCTGATTTTTTTTTTTTTTTT